AGTATTGAGCAGTTGTCCCAAATCCGTACAGAATATTCCGGTTCCTTCCATACCGTAATCCACTCTTGGATTTGAGATAAGGTCTCGTTCTTTGGCCATATAGTAGAGGGGGTCTAGATTTCTTAAAAAGTGCGAACGTAATATGTGAACGTTCCCTAAATAGATACCAAACGTATCTAGTGATCAGGTTCATTGAATTTATACAAATGTCATATTTTTAACAATTTAATGGATGTATATACTGTACTGAATATTATTCAGTTATAGTGCTATTAAAATATTTAAATTTTAAAATATATTTAAATTTTAAATTTCGAAATTGAAAATTTAAACGATTTATACTATAAATTTTATAGCATAATGTAATAAAATGTGAAATATTATACAAAACGTGAGCTTTAATTGAAAATAAGATTGAATTGAAGGCAAATATTGAGCCAAAATGAAATCATTTGACTCTTTGCGATGGCATTGAAAAGTGAGAGGATTTCAGATAAACTGATAAAATATATGTTTTTAAAACGTGTTTACTTTTTATCTTTAATATATGAATATCAGGGTCTAATCGACACCAGGTTTTTGACTCAATTTGCTTTTATATAACGCGAAAATCTTAACAAAAATGCAAAGAATTCTTCATTTCAAATAATCTGTTAAATAGGCATTTGATGTTAGAGTTTGCGTATTTCAAACTCAAACACTTCATTCATGGCTCAGAACATGCATTATCTAACACTACTTATATAATATACACGTTTAGTATTAGAACAATGTATTTATTTTATACATATTTTGTTTATATTTAGTGTAATTTATTAAATATTATTCATAAAATGACCAAAAGTGTGGCCATTATTGGCGCCGGTATTGCTGGTCTGACTGCAGCACAAAAATTACACGAAAACAGTTTCAATGAAATTACAATTTTTGAAGCGTTGGACAGAATCGGCGGACGTATTCATACCATCCCTTTTGGTACTTATTTTAACATATATTTAACGACTAATTCTGTTATTTAATGAATCGATGGTCTGATTGAAGGCAATGGTGTACTAGAATTGGGCGCCCAATGGCTTCACGGACAACACGGAAACCCCCTCTACTATATGGCCAAAGAACGAGACCTTATCTCAAATCCAAGAGTGGATTACGGTATGGAAGGAACCGGAATATTCTGTACGGATTTGGGACAACTGCTCAATACTGACGATATAAATAAAGTTATTTCTTATTTACACCGAATTAAAGACGAAATGAGTGACGAGTCGTTAAATTCAGATGAATTAGTTTCTGCACAACAAATATTCAGAATTAATTTCGAAAAATACATTCAATCGGAAGAATGTCCGCCAATTGAGAGCCAGTTATTGTGGTCTCTATTCAATTGGTACATCAAATTTGAAGTAATAGACAACTCTTGCAATGATTTAAACGACATATCATTGCTATCGTACACACAATACAGCGAATGCCATGGAATTGATTTAATCAACTTCAAAGACGGATATCAAACAATCATTGATTCCATGATCAATGATATTCCTCGAGATGTGATTCGTCTGAAAACTGCGATCAAACGGATAGAGATCTGCGACAAGACTTTTCGCGTCAAACTTTACGTCGAAGAAGGAAAGCGGAAACGAATTGAGATTTTTGATCATTTGATAATCACGTCATCCATTGGTTATATGAGGAAAAATTTGGACACATTTTTTGGTTTTGTTTTACCGCAGAATAAGATTAATATAATAAGAACTCTTGGCTTCGGAACCATTGATAAAATCTATTTATATTTTCAAAATCCTTTCTGGAAGAGCGAAGACCAGGGCTTTCAACTGATTTGGACGCAACACAACCATAACCTCCCGGTTTGGGTGTACGACATGACTGGCTTTGATTTGGTTCGGGGACAGTCACACGTGTTGGTCGCGTGGATTGGCGGCAATGGCGCACAACTCATGGAAGACGTCCAAAGCGATGATATTGTGGGCAATATTTGTGCCCAAGTATTAAGACTTTTCTTACGAGACGTGACAATAGAGAACCCATCGAAAGTGATTCGCTCGAAATGGGCTAACAATCACTACATTTGCGGCGCTTATAGTAATCGATCGCTTAATTATCAGCGACTCAACTGCGATATCGACCAGTTGTCCGAACCTATAGTGAAGACAAAACACAGTAATTATCACAACAAATGCGTGGACTGTCCTCTGATTCTGTTTGGCGGTGAGGCCACAGACAGACAATTCTACTCAACAACTCACGGAGCCATGAGATCCGGTCAACGAGAAGCTCAACGACTCATTGATTTCTACCAAACCGTGAATTTAAAACCAAAATTATAGTCAAACTTATTGTTGATATTTTTATTAATGACAAAAATAAACAATTTTTCATATTTTATTTTTTCTCTTTTCTTATCAATTATTGTTTTTAATACAAATCTCATATATTGTTAAAATTGACGCCAATTTTCTTCATAAGATATACACATATATCACAAGTCATTTAATAATCGTATAAATGAGTATTAAATTATAAAATGAATTTATAGAAAAAGATTTGCGTAAAAAACAGTTGTGGCGATGACTGACATCATAACAAACAAAACAAATAAATTCTGATAAAAATTCCTGCATAAGAAAAATGCAAATATTTGTAAACTATTTTATTGACAAAATAAACATTTTCTATAAAAACCTGAAAAGTAATTAAAAATATTAGAAAAGCCCTAAATATGAGAAAGTAATCCCTATTTATAAATAAAAGTAAACCTTAAAATTTCTGTTTATATAAATGTTTATTGGAATTCTTGAGTGATTTATAAATTATATTAAAAATTCTGTATTTGTCTGATATATATTCAGTCATTTTATGTCACTATTTAACAAACTATTTAAAAGGGAAATCATTTTGAGACCTAAATTAATCGATTCGTTCGGACAATGAATTGCAGGCATTTTGAAGACATTGAAGGCTTTGGCACTTTCTTTGCTTTAATTCAAGCGGAGATCTAATACTACATAACAACAAAACTCAATCATTCGCTGCACTCAACCCAATGGTTGGGTCTCTCGCAGAAGCCATTGAAGACCATTTGTTTTTCCCTGTTCTTCGAGAGCTTTACCAACAATATCACGACATGTCTGATGATAGTTATCGAGCCATGAGATCTGTTTCATGTGACCAATTAATTAGTTCGTTAAGTAATAATTTAATTAAACAATTATTAACATCATTTGCCAACATAGAAGTTTCAACAGTTGCCAAACATTAGATTATAATTTCATCAAATGACTAAACTGTTATATACTTTATAGTATATAAAGTGAATTAAATGGACTGTCAGTTGAAATATGTAAATATTAAATAATAGGCAAAACTTCTGTATCACAAACAATATTAATATTAACGATGCGAATGGAAAAGAAAGCAAATTAATGTGATATTAATGGTTGACTCACTTCCTCACTGGTTAGAAGCGATGGCTGAAGAAGTTTGGTCTGAATGGGCACAAGTGTTATTGTTTCAAACGTAAGGTAACCTCTATTTCGGAAATTGTACTGAAAATGGAAATAAAAGACAAAATTAAGAAAATAAATTTAGAAATAATTAATTACAATAATTTGTTCATTAAATACATTACAAAAATAGTTTTGTACCGTTTATACGGTTTCGTTATATAAATTTATGTGAAATCAGATTAGAGTGTCTCACAAATGGAAAACAAAAAAACAATAATTTAAATACAAATCTAATTTCGCGAATATGAAAGCCGTCTCACATTTTGTGACTTTTGTATTAATACAAAAAATAATAACAAAATTATATATAAAAAACTAATTAATAAAAAAGAATTTATTCTAAGTTATCGTCCAATAAATCAAAACAACATAACGTTTCAAAAAAAGAGGAACACAAATGAGAAAAGTATATGAAAAGCAAAGAAAACAACTCTAAACTGATTTGTTTTTGATACCTCTTTTAAATTACATTTTGTTTGTTTGTTTTTCTCTCTTTTCTCTCTTACGAAAAGGATTTTAAATCATAAGATTTGTCTCTTTATTGAAATAAAAATTTAATTTATATCTGAAATGATAGTAAACGATAGCAAACAGAAACGAAATAACAACAAAAAGCAGTCAAATAACAAACCAGTCATACCTTAGTGTTTGCTTTTTTTATGAGCACAAGATTTTCAATCCTAATCCCAAACTTGTCCTCTTCGTAAAATCCGGGCTCATTAGAGAGTATCATGCCTTCGACGAGTCCCGGGTCGTCGGCGTTTGGTCTATAACTGATACCCATCGGGCCTTCGTGTACGTTGAGAAACATACCCACTCCATGACCCGTGCCGTGCAAATAGTCCAGTCCCACATCCCATAAGGCTTTGCGAGCGCACGTGTCCAACATATTTCCCTTTAATAACTGTGGAAATATAGCCGACGCTAACGCTATGTGGCCTTTGAGTACACGAGTGAAGCACTCTTTCTCAAAACTGGACGGCGTTCCCAAATGTATGGTTCGGGTTATGTCTGTCGTTCCGTCTTTGAATTGAGCGCCGGAATCGCATAAATATATCTCCTCTAAAGTGATCGGTCTGTTTGTCTCTTCAGTGCAACGATAGTGAATGATAGCGGCGTTCGGTCCCGAAGCGGATATTGTCTCAAAACTGGGGCCCATATAGTCTTCTTGAGTCCTGAATGCATATATTGTTTACTCCATTAAACATCAAATACAATATCAATCAAATGGTGTGACAAACCTTCTAAACTCTTCCAGTTTCTCAGCGGCGGACAATTCGTTGACATCGCCTTTGGGCACCTCCTCCTCGAGCCACGCGAAGAACTCACACAACGCCACCGCGTCTTTGATCTTAACACATAGCGAGTCATATCAAGTGTTAATTATATGCAAATTAAATGCCAAACACAAACATAAAAACTGGTCTCACATGTGATCTCTTCATGCCTTCAATTTCGACCGAATTCTTGACGGTTTTCTTCAGCTCAACGGGACTTAAGGACTCAACTCTTCGCGATTCGGGTATTACACTGACTAGACTATAGCTCGACTTATGGCTTATCTATGGTAACAAATATATCGCATTATTAGACATATGTATAACATCTCAGAGTTAACCCCTTTTCCCAAATCCATTGGCAACACATTAGACACAACACATACCCATATCTTTCCGGGCAGTTGACTGATCAACCATTTAAGAAACTCTTTGATCATTTTATAGGGACGTAATTCAATAGAAAGGCCTGAGTTTTGGTGATTTAATGAGATGTCGATCTGTAAGTGTTTGGACGCCGCGGGACTCAACTTATTTTCATCGATAAATAAACTGCGAAACAAAATAAAAATCAATAAAAAGTCAAACAAATGATTAAAAGAAACGATCGAAAAGTTTACTCACTATATGTTGTCGAGAGTTATCACTGAATAGGCGAAGAAAACAGGATTGAACTCAATATCAGATCCCCTCAGATTGAAGAGCCACGCGATCTCGTCGAGCGCTGTCACGACCAGAGCTGTCGTCCCCTTATTGATCATCTCTTGTCGTATTTCTACGATCTTATCCCTCCAACTCTTCCCCGCATACGTCAGAGGCAATGGATCGACCGTTTTGTTTGGCGGCGACGGCCTGTTATCCCACACCTCGTCCACGAGATTATCACTTATTGGCACTAATGTATGGCCGGCGGCCTCTAATTGAGCCGCTAATGGTTTCCATGTGGCGTATGATATCACAAATGGGTCGACACCGACCCGACTCCCGGGCGCGAGTTTCTTGGAGAGCCACTCGGCCTGAGTGAGCGTCCCTGGGATGGCGTCCTTCATCAGAATCCAGTTGTGGTCCAACTGTTTCTCCGCCTGAAGGAAATAACGGCCGTCTGTCCAGAGAAGGGCGTCCTTTTGGGTGATAATAGCTGTGCCGGCGCTCCCGTCAAAGCCCGATATGAAGGCTCGTCGGGCGTCACACGAGGCTATGTATTCACTGCCGTGCGAGTCATTGGACGGCACTATATAGGCGTGAATCGATTCGGTCACAGAACTAGAGTTCTTCATCAGAGACCGGAGTCTCTTTAGGATATTCCCCGTGTTTTTGATCGCCATATTCAGGGGTTCGTCGTCTGAACTGTTGTCGTAATAATCGTTACCTAAAATTTCAGACACAAAATCATAAGCACTTCTCCTCAACAAATATTAAAAATATTGTTTTCTAAAGACTTGAGCAAAAATTTTAAAGCAAAAAATTGTTAAAAAGCAATTAACGAGTAATTAAAACAACAATTTATTGTTAATAAGTAAGAGAGTGAACACAACCAGTGATTAGTGTTTTTATGATTAGATGTTAGGCCAGGAATTATACCAAAAAGGCAGTCAAAACTCCAATAGAGTTGTTATCTTAAGATAAGTTAACGAAATATGATTGGAGTGAATGTCGGCGTTAGTGTGGAGTCAAAGAAAACAATAAAATATCAATTTTTAAAAACAGAAATATAAATGTATATACAATAATACAATGGCCGCAGACCTCCGATAGGAAGGGGCATATTTCTACCCCCGAGCGCGAGGTCGAGATTTTTCATTGAAGGACTGCTCAATGAGGCCATAGAGGAGGCGAATGCGGCGGCCATTTGCGGGTTACCGCTCGCGACCGCTAAATATTTAAGTGTTTCGGTAACGATGGAGGGAAAGGCGGCGGCGGCGGCCGCCTGGGCCTCAATCGCGTCGTGCAGTGCAATACTGGACGCTAAGAGTCCCTCATCGACACGATCTTTAGAAGTGGACGCACCGATCGATGCCGACTGCGATGAAGATATAATGGACGAGTTGGCCGAACCATTACGGAGAGCCGCCTCTGGCGGATGATTGTGCTTATTATTGGCTTTCTTTACACGATTATTGACGGTAACGGCCCGTCCCGGACACTGTCTGTCCCGCGAACAGCGCCAGTAAACGGTGCCGTCTTTGCCGTCCCTAACCTTATTATATCGGTGGCCCTCAAACAGTAGGGCCACACCTCCTCTTTGAGTGGCCACATATGAACACGAGTTCGAGTCCATCACTACATCAATTGATCACAAGAATCACACAAAACAAATGGCTCTCACTATTTGACGATCACATCCTGGTATGAAGTCCTCATATTATGGACACTCATTATCACAATTTATTTTTCCCAAACGATTCAATGATTGAACGAATTTATAAAACAATACTTTTATTAAACAACGAATTAGAAAAATAATACTCTTGTTGTGCAATGCGTTGAAGCGATGCAACAGTTTTTGGCAAAAGTGTGAAAACTAATGGTTTGGTTGGTTTAGTGCGCAAAGAGTTAGTCTCGAGGACTGGCGGAGTGAAAGAGAGGGCTAATAATCGGTGATATACTTATTGAAGGCACCATCAGTTGAGAGGCAATACATGCGATCGAGTGGTGCAACAAAAGTCATATTGAGGTCAACGAACGCACAATTATGTCTAACGAGCTCTCCAGGCATTCCTGCACTACAGTTGGCAATGGATTCAATGGATTGTTGGATGGATTGTACGGATTGTTGGGATGGATGGGAGGAATGGCTATCAACTTATTTGATAGTCGAGTCAGAGAGCCGTTTATACGCGACATTAATATTCATGAATTGCAAAAACTCGTAGACAATGAATACGATATATATATTATATATGGCACACAATTGAGATCACATTTACTGATCCAACACTTCATCGCAGACCATATGAGAGCAGAACTAACGACAATACTGTACAACAAGAGTGCTATACTATTAGCCGACGATAAAACAATTCAAACAATTCATCACTAATTCAAATAAAAAATCAATAGATTTTATAAACAAATTCTGTGCCAAAAAAGAGAGTTAATATACGAACAAAAAACTGAAGACAACTGAAGGCAAGAATATTTGTGAGGAGTGAAGAAGAAAAGGCTTTTTTGTCGCACAAGACGTTGTTATGACGTCTGTTGGGAAGTCATGTCTTATTTGAATTAATTAGACGATAGGATATAATGAGGGCCTGAATGTTAGCGAATGAATCGGAGGACAGGCGCTCATGAGTGGGAGATATGGCTTTAGATATTAAAGAATTGGCAAAAGGAATGCAGAAAAAGTGGTTGTAGTGGTAGTAGTAGTGGTAGTGGTAGTGGTTGTCCTAATATACAGCCTCTTTAGACCAACTGGTATTAGGCCTTCCAGTCAGACGGGATTGGATTATATGGTGAGCCCTCGCGGCTCTGGTAGGCATTTCAGTTCACGGCAGGGCATTGGCCCGAGTGTTGAGAAACTCTCTAAAACTCAGCCTCTCTTCTAAAACCGATGCCTTTTCTCAACACAAAAAGAAGAAGAAATAAATGAATTGAGTCTTAGTTTTAGAGTATATTTAACTCTTATATAATATAAAGTATGTATAAATAGGTCTAATAATAATCTAATGCTATATATCATTGGCAAAAATTGACGCAAACCTAATGAATGCAACTCTAACTCCATCCCAATCCCATTCCCCCAACAGCTATGCCTCCCATCCCTCCCATGCTTTCCATCCTTCTCTCTCTCTCTCTCTCAGACTGAAACATTTGAGGCATTTATTGGGCGCACCTTATAATGGGTTACAACACATCTCGCCATCACTTATGCAATCAACGGGACATACATTGCAGGCATAGNCTCTCTCTCTCTCTCTCTCTCTCTCTCTCTCAGACTGAAACATTTGAGGCATTTATTGGGCGCACCTTATAATGGGTTACAACACATCTCGCCATCACTTATGCAATCAACGGGACATACATTGCAGGCATAGGAGGACCCGACTATAACTCATGGCTAGTCCTACCACTCAATGGTAGGCCAGACACCACCGCAAGAGTTATGGCAACAGTTGGTCCACTCTCTCAACCCCTCAATCCCTGCAAACTATAAGTCAATTAATATTCAAATAACGTCTCAGAAAAACGAGTTTTACGAGTATTTATAACTTTAGACACCAATTGATATTCATTTCATGCAATCGTTTTCAAAGATACCAATGGCTTAACAGACCAGAGGCTCAACACTTGCAGTACAACCAGACACTACAAGCCTTATTATAATCACAGACAATGACTCCAACCTAACCATTAATGTTAAGCAATACACTTACCTATAGGTATGTTATAGTGAGTTGTGTACAACCAATTTCACCCACAAATGGCCAATAGTGTAGATATTATATAATATTCAATACAATTCAATCCAATACAGAATCAATGGTGAAAACAATTGTGTTTTTGATTGTCATTAAAGTACACATTGAATGCAGTGTTGCCTTCAGTACAGTGTGTTATGCCGTTTACGTCAGCCTCGCCTCCGCTCCCAATCCTATGAATGCATTCAATACGAGCGCCAAATCTATTTTGAATGAAAGTTTTGCCTACTTTTCGCTACTTTTCAAATGTCTTGTCATCTAATCTATGATTTAAAAGTGATTTCCGATAATTAGCGATGAATTAACACTTTATTTCAATCGTCATATTTTGCCTATTTTTTGTCTATTTTTTATTGCTTTCGTAACACAAATGCATTTATATTTTGCAAAACTAATAAAATTTAACCGAGATTTTAAACTAAGTTTGCGATCATTTCAGTTGTTTAACAATTCAGTGAAAGTCTGTCACAGAATCGGCATTTCTTCAAATATTTTAGTTATGATAAAAAGGCATTTAAAAATTATGGACAATTAGATGTATAAATCATACAAGTAAATAATGAGCTAGATACATAAACATGATGTATACCCCGTTATAATGAGCGCTAATTTTTCTACATTAATCTCATTCATATCACACATGAGTTAACCATAAGTGTTAGTAATAAGAAGCTATGGTTAAGGCAATGGTAGTGAGTGTAGGGATGAAGAGGTCGTCTCGCGTCACGATTGCAGATCAGATTGAAAGACGTCTCAAGAGCTCAAGAATTAGCTTTAATTAAATTGTGGTTAACAAAGAAAAACCGGCTCTAAATCTCATCTCTCGAATCAATATTATTAAATGTATATATTTTTGTTACTCTTTTCTCTTCTTCTTCTTCTAATCGTTATTCACTATCGAAAGAGTAATTGAATGAAATTTTTAAATGAGAAAAATTAATATTTTTGCCTTTAATTGATTATTTGCCTCAATATTTGATTTAATTAAACGAATTCCTGTTTGCGTTATATTTTGCACCAAAAGCTGTGCTTTTCTTTTTGATTACTTCATCACAATTCTGGCACTCATTAGTCATTTCAATATTAAACGATAAGATACTATATTTACATCGCTATCTAATCCAATCCAATCCCATTTTGGCCCCTCATGTCTGACCCGAGTCTCCGGGTATTATACAAATACTTTCCACCCTTTCCTCTCCATTACCAAACAGAGCGCAAAACTTATTGATTTTTATTTTGCAAAAATTAATTTCTTTCTCCAAAATTTTAATTGTAATTAAATTCGAGTTTATTTTGCATTTACTTTATAACAACATTTTTTGGTTGTGTTTTATTTATTTTGTTAACCCATTAACTCAATTATATTTTCGCAAAATTTTTAATATTTCTTTGCATTTAATAGTTTTTGTTGCTTTTTTGCGAAATAATTAATGCTAAATAATCAGCGCTTAATCTCATTTGCAGTTATATTGCATTATATAATACCTGAACTGTATTTAAATTGAATAAATAAATGCAAAAATTTCTCTCTTTCTCTCTCTCTGTTTCTCTTTTTTTCTTTGCAATTATATTTATTTTGTGAATTCAATGACTAACCTATCGGTAGATTAAAAACAATACATCATATAAAGTGGTGAATTTGAAAAATGAAATATTGTTTGAAACATTTTCTGACATCTACTGAATCTCTTTTCTCAGTGGAGATGTTTTCTGAGATAATTTATTTTAACTAATTTTGAAATCTCAGGTATAATAACCCCGAAAAAATTTCTCAAAGTATTAGCATTATATATAAAACTCTTTTTTTGGCCAATAATATTGACTACAACTAGAAATAGGAGTTGACTTTCCATTAATTTTGCCCAACATTTCTGAATACCTGAGAATATATTTATCAGTTATAGAACTTATGGGAGAGAGAGAGAGAGAGAGAGAGAGAGAGAGAGATGGTTATGTGGTCTGAGTTTTAAGAGGTCTAAGTTTGTTATATAAACGTTGATTTCTTTTCTTTATTTTGTTGTAATATTTCATTGACTTAAATAAATCTTAGCCTCCAATGCAGACAATGTATAATAACGTGTAATTTTCGGCCGAATATTAATTATTCTCTGAATACGTGCCCATAATATTCAAGCAAATTCTTAGGGCTAAAGGAATGACAGAAAGAAAAGCAAAACCATATGCAAAATATATAGAGAAACAAATTATTCAACAGATTTAGTATTCAAGACTACGTGTGTTCAGAGTCTTTGGCCATTTAGCCATTGGGTTCCCGTAATGTTTTGCACAACTCGTGATAGACTTATCGATTACCGAAACATTTTTTGAGCAAAACATTGTTATTTAGAGCATTGGATAAAAATAATAAAAATTTTCATAAATTGCATGAAAAGGTATGCTTTCTAGACGTTATGGAGAAGTTTTATTTACCTGTGCTATACATTAATTACAATGTTATATAATTTTTAGCTAAACTTAAATCACGAAAGATTAATAAAAATGAATTTCGTATACAAGAAAAATAATTGTATTTTGTTGTTTGTTATTGTCTTAACCCATACCTCAATACATATTCAATAGGTGTATGGAATCTATTTGTTATACAAAATATCGCACAAAATAAGTGCAGTGTTTGTGAGATTTTGTTGCTTTTTTCGTGGATAAAAAGCAAAAGCAAATTCAAAACTCATTAAACATGTCAGATATTTTGAACTCTTTTCAACTTCATATATAAATTGCATTTTTATTCCAAATGATAGTTCATTTGTGAAGCCTTTCAGAGATAAAACAGAGGCGATAGAGGAGAGCATAAAGAGGAGAGGGAGCCTAAAAACCAGAGTCCAAAAACGATAGGAGCCATAGATGTGTTCATTTTTGTAATTTTGTTTTTAATTTTGCATTTTTCAAAAGCCTAAAGACTCTAATCGATGATATGAAAAATTATAGTCAAAATGA